CCCCCTCGGGTCGCTCCCACCCCCTCGACAGTGAGTCCCGTCGGCTGTGCTGGGCCGGGATTGGTGGCCCCCCCCTCGTCGCCCTCTGGGGAGGTGGCGGCCCAGATCATCACCCCCCTGGCGGCCCAGCCTCCCCCTCCTCGGTCTGCCGCCTACTCCCGCCGCGGCCGGTCGGCCTCTTCCCCGGTGGTCGCCGGACGCAGGAGTGCTCGGTTGGACGCCGCTCACCCCGAGGGCCGCCCGGCGCTCCCCATCTCCGAGCGGGCTGAGCTTCGCGCTGCCGCCCGCAACCTGGAGCCAGGTACGCCCTCCGCCCCCCCTTCTACTTCTGCTTCGTCTTGCTCCTTCTCTGCTCTTGAATCTGTCCCTTTGTGCCATCTCGCCCAAGTGGCCGCCGATTCCGCGATCATCTTCCGTGGGGAGGTGGGTCCCCCCCTCGCCCAGATTGAGGCCATTCGGGCCCGGGAGATTCTGGATGGGAAACTGGCAGAGGCCCGAGCGGCCCTTGCGGCTCCCCCTCCCCTGGCCCAGGCGCCCCCTAGAGACCCCTCCCCCCCTCCTCGGACGCGGCAGACGGCCCCCCGCCCTTCGGGGGCCGAGCTGGTGATCCGGGGTCGCACCCGCTCCCGCACGGCGAGCGCGTCTCGTGTCTTGGGGTCAAGCAGCCCCCCAATGGCTCCTTGATGCGTGCCCTATTCTGGAACATCCGCGGCTTCGGCCATGATGGCCGACGCCGCCAGTTAGTGGAGTACTTGCGAGATGAACGCATCGACCTAGTGGCCGTGCAGGAGACCATGCGCCGGGACTTTGCGCTCCCTGAGCTCGACCGGCTGAGCTCTCACCTATTTGCGTGGCACTGGCTCCCTTCTAGTGGGAGTGCAGGCCACTTGGGTGGCATCCTCCTAGGCGTGAAGGATGCCACCTTTGAGGTGGGCAGCATGGACCGGGGCGAATTCTTCGTCAGCATGGAGGTCTTTGAGAGATCTCTCAATTTCAAATGGGAGATCATCATCGTCTATGGTCCGGCTGACCATAGTAGGTCGGCCTCCTTCCTGGAGGAACTTCACCGGAAAATCTCGGCCGCCTCCCTCCCCGTAGTTGTCGGGGGGGACTTCAACCTGTTGCGGTGTGCGGAAGACAAGAACAATGGCAATGTTAGTTTTGCCCGGATGGACATGTTTAACGACTTCATTGCCGACCTCGCCCTCAGGGAGCTTGATCGGGTTGGGGCTCGTTTTACTTGGACCAACCGCCAAGCCTCCCCGACCCTCTCCGTCTTGGACAGGGTCCTAGTTTCCCCCGAGTGGGACCTCCGGTGCCCCTTAGCCTCTCTTCGTGCCGTCACCCGGATTGGGTCTGACCACGTTCCCCTGCTTCTCTCCTCCGCGGATGAGCGCCCCCCGATTCCCCCTCGGTTCCGTTTTGAGGCTTTCTGGCTCTCCCAGGCCGGATTCTCCGACGCCGTCAGTGCTCGTTGGATCGAGGCTCGTGGCCATCCCCACCCCCGCCCCCCTTCCGCCATAGATGCGTGGCACTTCTGTGCGAAGCGTGCCCGACAATTTATGAAGGGGTGGGGAGCCAACCTGGGAAGAGACTCCAGGGAACGAAAGAAGGCTCTCCTGTCGGCGATCCAGGCCCTCGACTTCAGGGCTGATGCGATCGGTCTCTCTCCTGACGAGTGGATGTCCCGTTATGACCTCGAGGACCAGCTCTCCGTGATTTACTCTGATGAGGAGGCTTATTGGCGCA